AAAACAAGTCCAATCCATGGAGACTGCACCCCCGCAACTTACAGGACTAAAATTATCAGCTAGTGACGGATGGGTGCATTATACCACAGCATACTTTTAGATGTCAAGTGGAGTTCATGCTTTGATGGGTCAAGACTGTTTTTTGCAGCAAAAGGGGGCCCTATTCAATATTAGTTCGGTGGTCATAATGTCATAATGGCTGATCAGTGTACATTAGTGCATAGTATGACATGTAAAATAAAAAATTGTACATATGACACAAAAATAATAGGCAATGAAACCTGCAGTGCATTTCAAGTGATAGAGAAGTAGAATAATGCAGCAACCACACTGAATCAGATTAACCCCTTCGTGACTGACGACGTACAGTGTACGTCGCCAGCATCGGGGCTGTTTAAACAGACTCCCGGTGACTTTTGCCGCCGGGACTCTGTTTAAACTTGTAGAGCCGACTGTCGGCTTTACAACAGAAGCGATCCTGGCGACTTACCTGTCGCCAGATAAAAAAGGGCCTCAGTCATGAAGGGGTTAATCACACACAAATCTAAGCAGAATAAGTCCAAATAGTTTTAGTCAGCGTTAGTTTAAGAGCATCAGTCACTACTTTATAATTGAGCACATAATACATAAATCCCTTGGTAGTGAGAACAACTAAAAATTGTTGTATATGCGACGTACGCCCGGCCCAAACCCGCTGTACGTCAATCCCACATGACCATACACAAGTCTGAACCGAGCGTGAGCGTCACAAGGACGTGGCGATACGACTGTCAGCCTCACCCATCACAGAGATTTCCCAATCTCAGGCCAGCAGACAGAGCGATCGTCACCAGGGTTGGTTAACTCCGCAGTTAACCCTTTACCCACAAACTTCCACCATGTATTTTCTGGAATACAAACCGTGCCCAGCAAATGCTGCGACTATTTAAACACTTAATGCCTGTGATACCGCTGTCCTCTCAGACAGGAATATGACAGGATTCACTATACAGTAGCACTCTTCACAGAGGCAAGGATACTTTAAGTTTGTATTTAGAGCGTAGAGATAAGCTTAACGATTTTTAAGATCGTCCTTTAATAAAAGAAACGGTGCAGAAAATATACAGAAAAAGATTTAATAAAAGAGACAAAATATATATACAACAGCAAAATAAAAGGGAATAAAAGAAGAATACTTAACAGTGCTGGAATTGTGAGTTCTGACAGAGTACAGAGTTCAAGAAGCAAAGGGAAGTCTGCAGGGCTCTTCTTCAAGCAGGCTTCCAGCAGATAATGTCCAAAGATTAAATGGGAACTCTTCTGCGATGTTCAGACTTCTTGTTCGTCGATGATGTTTTAAACCAAGAGCCACTCTAGTTGCCAACACAGAATATTTTATAAGCCCCTTTTAGAGGGTGTCCTGGAGCCGGCCCCTAGGCAGGGCTGGGGCGGGAAAGCAGGCGGAGGATGAACCTTTAGTTTACCTATCCACACCCAATTCCAAATTAATAAAATGTAACTTGATTTTCCAACTCAGGTCTTATGACTTTAGAGAGAATGCAACGTCACCACCTAGCAGACCTGCTTGGTTATTTTAACTTGTCCAATCCTAATATATGGATGCATGGTGCCATGCCTTTACTTAATGACAGCCATAAAAAGGCTTACAAAGATATTTTGGAATTTCACTCGGACTGGGGCAATAAAAGATCACAGCCAGAGAGCATCTCTTCTGTGGAATGTGGAGGGGCCTGTCAAATTCTCAATGAAGACCTGCAGGTGCTCGGAACTGGTGCACAAGATAATTCTGAGTCTTAAATAAGACTCAGACACCCTTATCGTCACAGTCTAAACATTAAAAAAACAATAACGAAATAAGCGTTGCTTGCTGTAACCATTCATCTTTAAAAAGAAAATCGACCCAGTAGTTATTGCAAGCATCAGTCTGTAAATGATTCAATACACAAAAAAAGAACTTGGAAGGGGGCGAGTGCATGCAAAGCATTTGAGAGAATGGCCGCTTAAGCCCGGCGCTCCGCACCTCGATGGCAGCTATATACCCACCCTGGCAGCTTTTAAGAAGCGGGCGACCCTGCAAGTCCTGGAGACGCTTCGTCTTGCTCCCGCTTTCGTGATCGATGGCCGGCGGATCCTCCAAAAGGCGGAGTACTCATCACACGGAGCCACAAAACTTCAGGTGCTACTTCCAAGATGGCGCCTGTTTCTTTACCACGGGACCGCGATCTGAAAGGCTCTATGAACTTCAAGACACTGGAGATTTCTTCCCCCCGATAGACTGTCAGTGACCTTGGACTAAGAGATTGTTTAAGTAATCAGCACATAAGAATCCATTATTAACACTGGATAGGGACACTGATGCCAACAGCTGAAATAGGCTCGCTATCCTTAGCCATGACCAAAGAACCCCATATTTGGAATCACCTGATCCTCTGGCACAGGGAACATTTTCACTGTTGTCTTAAGAATCCTGTTTGAAGACTCTCAGCCTCCAATAAGTCTAATTTCACAATTTGACTTGATCCTGTCAACTTAAGACAATGGGAAGCCAATTAATAGGGTAGAGACTTGACCTGCCTCAAAAAAACACCAAGACCATGTAATACACCAGGCCCACCTGGTCCGGGGGTATGCCGATCTCAGCTTCAGATAAGGTGGGGACGCGTGGAGAGGATGGCGTTTGTAGGTTTAAGGTGAGTTTCATACAGTTAAAGCATTTGCATACAAGCTGTGATATGCGGTAAGAGTCTGTGCCGATTAATGATAAGTGTAGCTATTCAACAAACAATCTGGCAGTTCGAGGCAAATAGTAGGAACCACTGAAGGTTGAATCAGAACAATAGCCCTGTTTGATTATTGTATCTAACAGATGCAGTCAGTAACTCCAAATAGAAACAACTGGTGGTTGAAACAGTTCAATATATCACTCTTTAGACAAATGTAACTTAGTACTTGCTGTTAGTAAGATTTGGTCCCACGGTGCCACCCATAGGAGCTTGGAGGAGTCGCCTCCAATGTTCTTCCTTCACAAGGGGAAATATGCTGCTGAGGGAGTCCATGGTAAATGCTGCTAGCAAGCCAGTGGAGAGGTGAGGGAAGTGGCTGCTGAGAGCAGAGAGAAGGGGCACTCGTCCGGCCCAATAGTGTGGAGTTCGGTGTGGAGCCACTGGGGGTACTTGACTGGCGTCACACACACACTTGCACGAACGCCAGGCAAGTGAACTCGTCGGCTTGAGAGGAAGGGGGAGGAGTCGCCTGACATCTATTCTGGTGACGTCGCTGGGTCCCTGACGGAGCCGCAGAAAGCGCCGGAACCGGAGGACGGGTAAGTTCGTTACAGACCACTGCCTACTTGGAAGTTCTACAGATTTTCTCAAAAACTGTCCTCCATTGTGTTGGCATTACTTGTCTTCCTCCATTGGTGATCCCTTCAAATTTGATCAGCACCTAACTTAAGATGTTTCTGTGGATTGCCAGAGTATGACCGTGCTGAACTATCAACAGGATTTCGCTGCAAATAGTGGAATGCTTAAAAAAGCCTTGTTCACTCAAGAAGGCAGTGACTGGATGTAATATTTGGAAAATGACCTAGGATTGTGGCGAGGCCAAAGGGAAGATAAACAAACTGAGGAGTAAAAGTATACTGCTGTGAGAAGGTCAGGATGCAGGAGAAGGAAATATACTACTTATATGGTACTCTTTAGGCACCCTACACTTTCACTGATGGATGCCTCGTAAAGCTCAACTTCACCAGTTGGGTTTTATACCTCTTGGTGAATCTAATAGCAAGACTTTACTGCAGCAGTTGTGCGTCCTCATTACCTCCCAGATGGACAAAACAGAAATGTGTTCCTATCTTACAAATTGTTCATTCTATATAAGGGAAAATCAATTTTGGAAGAGTGACACAAATATAAATTGACTTTATAATGGCCATCACAAATAAACATATCTGTACATTTTGCTGGGGCTATATAATCACTGGTGACAAGAGTTTCTAATTTGTCAGCAGCCTACAAAACAAAAATGTCAGCTGTGGATGGAGGTGGCCTTTAAAGCTTTGAAAGCTCTCCTGTGGCATGTTATAACACTTATGAGTATACTAAGACTATTAGGCCTTGCAGTAAAGAAGTTTACAGTGGTTCACAATAGCGGAGAAGGGGCAAAATATGTCTCACCACTATCTATTCTCATATAGACACCTGCCATTCTAGGGCCAGCCTAAGGAGAAGATGCATTTAAAAAACATAACAAAAACAACAACAAAACTTTTAGGCCTTGGAAATATGCTTCATGGTGTAAAGATATTGGTATATTTCTTAAAAAAATCTTTGTACAAATGTCTGAAGAATTGCTTTAGTTTTCTAGCGAAAGTTAACATATTTCCTACACACTGTCCTACACAATGTCATCCTAGCATATTGACCATTCTTCCAGAAGCGCATTTGTGAGGTCAGGTACTGATGTTGGACAAGAAGGTCTGGCTCGCAGTCTCCGTTCGAATTCATCCCAAAGATGTTCTATCGTGTTGAGGTCAGGACTCTGTGCGGGCCAGTCAAGTTCCTCCACCACAAACACGCTCATCCATGTCTTTATAGACCTTGCTTTGTGCAATGGTGTGCAGTCATGTTGGAACAGGAAGGGGCCATCCCAAACTGTTTCCAAAAAGGCCACACGAAGTTTGGAGGTATGTAGCTATTGACATGATGTATATATATATACATCATGTCAATATACATAGTCAATAGCTACATACATATGTGTGTGTGTGTGTGTACCTCAAGGAGAGGTAATGGCTGTGATAGAAGCTGTGTTAAGACATCAAGATTTTATGATTTCTTTTTTTGTTTCTCATAAAAAAAATATCTGTATTGTTTTATGAAATTGCTATGTACTGTTTTCATGTCTGGTGAATGTGTAACAATTGAATAGAAAACTCTAGAGCAGGTGTTTGTACACCTGAAAAAAATAATAGCACCAGGTCACCCGCTGCTCGGACTCACCTGGTATGTATCCCACAGTCTAATGGTACACCGCAGGGGGACTTCTCTCATCAGAAGATTATTCATCCAGCGGAAAGCAAATTGCAGGTATTCAACCTCATACTGATGTAAGTGTCTATGTACTTGTTCTGAAAACAAGAAGAAAGCCACTTGTTACATCTCAAGATGCTTCACATTATTACACACTAATAATATAATGAATGAGAGCCTTCAAGCCAATCACAAACAATATTACTTGCATATGCTGTTATATACTTATACCTGCAGTACAAGCATTTCTTTTCAGCACTGAGTTTGTATAATTGAATTCAAGAGAGGCTCACATTAACTTGGAAACTGTTCAGGCCAACTGAAATTAAATAATATGCTGTAGCACCAGAAATAATATATATGTAATGCTAGGATCAACACAGCTATATGTAGAATCAAAGCTGCTATATGTAAAACAAATCATACAGTACAATGCTAAAGGTTGCATGAAAATAACAATGTCTTAAATAAACAGCATGCCATTCAAATTGGGTTGGTATTTAAAAACCACATCAAAAGAAAAATAATGGTTTTACATATCATAGCCAGTCGCTTGTTGCCATTTTCTAAGCTGTGCCAGAACAATGACTAGTAAAATTATTTTGCTTGCAATCCGAAGAAAAAATCCACTTTTCCTTATTTGTAATATGTAATACAGTATATGCTTTAGGAACGTCTCCTATTTTACATGACATTTGACATGTAATAAGAACTTCTACTACTCTACCTTTAATGATATTAACACAAAACTTCTGCAAAATCGTTGTTCGTATTGGGTAGAATGGGGACGTTTTATAGACAACAAGGAAGTGAAAGAAAATCCTCTTCTTGATTGTTGTCATGGTAACATTATTCTTTGTTAGGAGATTTCACACTTCTGGTTTGGTAACAAATGTCAATTTCAATGGAAAGGACATGACAATTTTCTGGAAACAGAAAAAGTAGCTTCATTCACCACCAGTTCTTGCCCTGAGTGAGCCAATAATATAATGCAAGTGTGTGGAAGGAGGAATCGCTCACTGGGCCAAGCTTCAGTGTCTTGCTAGTCAGCCCGCTGGCTCTCAAAATACCTGCATCCAATCAGTTTATTCAGGTATTTTGACAGCCAGTGGGGCTGACTAGCAAGATACTGAAGCTTGGCCCAGTGGGAGATTCCTCTAGCCACACAGTATAGCGTAGATGAAGGAATCGGTTACACTTTTTCCATCTGACTATATAAAATCTGCAGGTGTATGGCCCAGCTTTAGTGTTTTAGAAGGTTTATTCATCTGCAGGTGTATGGCCCAGCTTTAGTGTTTTAGAAGGTTTATTCATAAGGAATATCTGAGTGTTTCCCAGTCATTTCAATCCAAACACAAGCATGTAGGGTGGGGGG